GGCGCCTTGCCGAGAGATGGCCTCAGGGGCAGGCTCAGCCTCCTTGCGGCCTCCAGAACACCCCCCACCCCTGCCAGGCAAACAGCTCCAAGACAGGGCTCCCCGTGCTCAGCCCCGGCTGTCCCCTCACTCCCCACCCCTGCCAGGCAAACAGCTCCAAGACAGGGCTCCCCGTGCTCAGCCCCGGCTGTCCCCTCACTCCCCACCCCTGCCAGGCAAACACAGCTCCAAGACAGGGCTCCCCGTGCTCAGCCCCGGCTGTCCCCTCCCCAACGCCTTCCCAGGAGAAGATTCTGGAGTAGGTCAAGCAGGATCTGGATACAGACAAGAGACAGAGGACTGCAGAAAGGGGGAACCCTGCGAACCCCAGACAGGGCCTTCTCCACCCCCCAAAGGCGTGGGGGCTGCTGAGTGCTTGCTCAGGGGCCAAGTAGCCTCCCCTCCCCCAGGCCCCCCCCCATTAAAGAGAGGTTGCTGCCCACTCAGGGAACTGCCCGGCCGGCGCCAGGTGTGGGGACGCACTCAGTGTCAGTCCCTGTTTAAGGCAGGAGGCTCCTGTACAATGACGCGCTTGTGTCATCTGGACAACTGTCTTATCAGGACAAGGCACACGGCCCAGAAACCTGATCGGGGCATGTGGCGGGCCTGGCAATAGACGCCCAAGTCCCAGGAGTGGGACCAGCCGCACCCAGCCACAGCTCCCGCCAAGGCAGAGCCGGGAGGCTCAGGTCATGGGGTCCCTGCCGCCCACAGGGGAGACCTGAGTTGGGTTCCTGGCTAACAGTGTGGTCACGGCCTTGGGGAGAGACCCAGAAGATGGAAGTGTTTTCTCTCCCTGTTAAATAAGCTAATGAATTTTTAAAAAGGCTGACTGGGGAGCCGGTGCTGTGGCGTAGCAGGTAAAGCCGCCACCTGCAACCCTGGCATCTCATGTGGCCGCTGGTTCAAGTCCCGGCTGCTCCACTTCCTGACCCAGCTCTGGCTGTTGTGGCCATTTGGGGAATGAACAAGTAGATAAGACTCTCTCTCTCTCTCTCTCTCTCCAACTCTTTGAAACAAATAAATTAAAACAAACAAACAAAAAAAAAGCCGATCAGACACAGTAACAACAGCATCTCTCACTTCTGGACACAGACACAGTGTGTCTATGAAGGGCTGTAGACCTGGAGGCCACAGGATATTCCTTTTCAAGTATAGACAATGCGGGGGCCAGTCCTTCAGGCAGAATGGGAGGGAGCTCTCTGAAAATGAGTCACCTTTTAAAAAGATTTATTTTACTTACTTGAAAGGCAAAGTGACAGAGAGAGAGAGGGAGAGACAGAGACAGAGTGATCTTCCATCCATGGGTTCAATCCCCAGATGGCCCTAACAGCCCGGGCTGGGCAAACCGCAGCAGAACCCAGGAGTTTCTTCCGGGTCTCCCACGCGGGTTTGGGGGCCCAAGAAATCAGGTCATCTTCAGCTACTTTCCCAGGTGCGTTGGCAGGCAGCTGGATCAGAGGGGAGCAGCCGGAATTCAAACCAGCACCCATACGGGATGCAAGCACAGGACGCGGGCAGCAACTTTACCCACCATGCCACAACGCCGGCCCCAGAATCTCATTTTATCAACCGCTGTGCACACAGGGTCCCGCTGCAAAGCAGGTGTTGCCACAGCGCACTCTGAATGAACCGCCTCACCCCAGCTTTGAGCCTTCCTCCGCTGATCTCGCCAGCCCAGCACCGTCCTGGCAACCAGGCACCCGGGTCCTCGGGGACCAGTCAACACGCAGGTCATCATTCCGTTCTCCCTGCTGCGGGCAACAGCGTGGAGGCCCAATTCTGGGAGTGAACCTGTTCTCAGGACAGGCGGGCGGCCATGGGAGGCACCGCCGCGAGCGCTCCGGAGCCGGGGAGGAGCGCGGTGGTCATTTGGTCAGAATTTGGACAAAGTGCGACTCAGAGCAGACAGAGTGCCTGTGCGAGGACTTGAGGAGGGGAAGGGAGCGTGGGGTGCACCCCAGGCCCCACAGGTGACGCGGCCAGGGAGGGAAAGAGCAGCTTCCAGCTGGGGCTGGCCAGCAGGACCTCATGGGCGCAGCACTGGGGTGGGGGTGGGGGCCCTGCCCTCGGGAGTGCTGAGCCGCTGAGGACCTGTGACGGTGCCTGTGTTCGTCTGCCTTTTGCAGATCTGTTATTTGAGAGGCGGTGAGACTGAGAGAACACGCACCCATCTGCTGGTCCACTCCCCAAATGCCGGGGCTGTACGAGGCTGAATCCAGGAGCCAAGAGCTCCATGTGGGCCTCCTGCGTGGGTGGCAGGGGCCCAGGTCCTTGGGCCATCACTGCTGCCTCCCGGGGCCTGTACTTCTCAGGAGGCCGGAATCCGCGGCAGAGCCAAGACTCAGGCCCTGGCAGCCTGAGACGTTCCCAACGGAGAGACTGGAAGCTGGAGCGGGGGGAGGGAGGGTCACTCCAGCTGCCGTGGGAGCTGCAGAAAGAGCAGCAGCAGGGGGTCAGCTGGGAGGAAGGCCAGAAGCAAGACCCCCCCACACACAAGCCCAGGGACGCCACCGAGAATCAGGCAGGCTCCTTCCCTATGGGGGCGGCAGGCACATCTGGGCCAAAACACGGGAGACGATTCCACTCTGACACGAGACAGAGGCTGCGCAGACGGCCTGCAGCCCGCGGCCACACACACACCCTCCAAGCAAGTCAGCCAGAGCGTCACCCGCGCTCGTGGAAATTCGCGGTGGCCCGCATCCCACCCAGAGCGACACTCAGTCCTCCTTAGTTCCCACAACTCCCCTCCTCATTCAACAACGGCACACGCATGGCCCACCACAGGCTGCTCCGGGTCAGACAGAGGCCTGCCCTCGGGGCGCTTACTCTAAGGACAGGCAGCGCCCAGGCTAGGGAGCGAACAGTGTTTCAGAGAGCGATGAGAACCCAGGAGGGAAGAGTCAGACGGCACCCGCCGTGGTGTAGCAGGTAATGCCGCTGCCTGCCACGCAGCCATCCCATATGGGTGCCAGTTCGAGTCCCGGCTGCTCCACTTTCAATCCCACTCCCTGCTAAGACACCTGGGAAAGCAAGGGGGGATGGCCCAAGTCCTTGGGCCCCTGCACCCACATGGCCCACCTGCAAGAAGCGCCTGGCTCCTGGCTTCAGATCAGCCATCTGGGGAGTGAACTAGCGGGCGGAAGACCTCTCTCTCTTTATCTCTCTCTCGCTCGCTCTCTCTGCCTCTCCTCTCTATGTAACTGACTTTCAAATAAAATGAATAAATCTTTTTTAAAAGGGGGGGGGGGACCGGAGCAGCCACAGGAAACCCCCGCGTTTCTAGGCACAGGACAGGAAGCTGCTAGGAGGCTGCAGACAGGTGTGCCAGGCGGGAGCTGGGCCGGTCGTGCGTGGTGTGCCGGGGTTGGTGCAGTACAGAGGAGCCAGCCGAGAACGGAATGAGGGCAGAGAGAAGGACCCACCAACGAGGTCAGCAGGCACCGTTAACAAAAACCAGGGGACCTGGAAGATGCACGGGTGGGGGCGGGGGGGGTGCAAGCAAATGCCTGCGGTTCGCTGCGGCTCAGAATCGCTGAGCTCGCCTGTCTGAGTAATGAGACGCAGCCTCTCTGGACCAGCCACTTAATCATCCTCGTTTCACAGATGAATAAGCAGGTCCAGAGAGGCCAAGTTCACCCAAAAGCTAAGTGGAGGCAGATCTTCCCCTCCCCAAACGGCCACAACAGCCAGAGCTGGGCCGGGCTGAAGCCAGGAGCCTGGAACTGCGTCCGGGTCTCCCGCGTGGGTGGGGGGGCCCGAGAACCTGGGTCACCCTCTGCGGGGAGCCGCACGGGGAGCGGAGCAGCCGGGACTCGAACCCGCAATGCCGCGGGATCCGTGTCGCTAGCGGCTGCGCGGCCCCCGCACACACCCCACCCCCTAAGCCTTAGAGAAGGCACCTCGAGACTTCCCTCCCCGGGACACGGGCTGCGGGACTAGCGGGACCACCTGCAGGACAGGGAGGGTCTGGGGTTGCCTGCCTGACGCCCTCGGAGCCGACGGGGCCGCGGCTCCCGCCTCGCCTCCGCAGCTCACTAAAACAGTCCCGGGCTCCGGCTGAGCCGCATTTGATTAACCATCCACGGATACCACACCCGGAATCTGAATTTGTTGTGAGAAAAACTGCGATGTCACCATTAAGTCCGCTAACTGTGGAGTGAGGGGGTGCACCCTGGCGGCCACCCCGTAAACTAGCAGTCCGAACTGAACCGTGCGGGCGGGCGTCCAGCTGTCAAACACGCGGGAGGAACCCACGCCGCCCAACGCGCTCCACCCAAGCCCCTCCGCGACCGAACGCCGCAGTCCCGCGGGCAGAGCGGCCGGAGCCGCGGGGCATTGTGGGACGCAGAGGGGCCGACGCATCCCGCGAGGCATTGTGGGACACAGCGAGCTGTCAGCCGCTCTCCAGCCTCCAGCTTCGCTCGCCATTGCCCGGCCGCCACGTTTGCCACTGGGAACGCTCTCGGTGAGCGTCCCCGGATGCCGCCTGACGTAACCGTAATCACCCCCTTAGGCGACTTGAAGCCTCGGAAGCTGAGGATGCCTTCGAAAGAGCAGTGACGGATTTCCGGGTGCAGCCTCGCTTTACGGCTTGGGCGTTCCTCCGCCCCAATCCGGGGAAAGCAGGAGAGCAGTTTACGACAGCGACGGTCGTGTTTACGGCGCCGGCAGCTGCGTGCGCATGTTCCCTCCTTTCCCGGTTCCTCCGAGTGCCCCTGGAATTGCCGTCTCCGGCCCGGACCATCTCTCGCCATCCGGGCGGACCGAGGCCTTTGCAGGTGAGCGGCGCGTTTCTCTGGGTCCTGCGGACCTCTGGAGCCCGCTCGGGCTCGTCTCGGCCTTTGGGGTCCTCCCGGAAGAGAGACTTTTACGTCCTCTCGTGCCGCCGCTGTCCCTCCGCTGGGCGGGGCGTGAATCTGCCCGCGGGGCCCTCGGGCCCGGCACGGTTTGGGGGATGCGGGGCGCGCGCTCTCTTGCCCAGGAGTCGGCGGCGCGCCCCCCGTAGTGGCGGCAGAAGCCTAGGACGATAGCCCGCGAGCCGCGGGGCCGCTTCGACTTCCCCGCAGGGTGCTCCCGCCGAGCCCAGCGCCGCTGCGTGGTCTGTGCTGAAGGCGAGGACCTCGGGCAGCTGGCGCGCGGGCCCCGGCTCTGTCACCTCCGGAGGCTGCGGGCAGAACCCGATCTCGCTGAGAGGCTGCGTTTGGGGGCGTGTGGTGGAGAGCCCCGGATGTTTTCCGGGCTTGTGCTGCCCAGCTGGGTTTCTGGCAGCAGCCTTGCCAACACAGTCTGTCCTGAAGCCGGAGTGGGTCGACCGCTTGATCTGGCTGAGCCGGTGACGGCTGGCTCCGAACCGGCCCCGGGCGCAGCGTTCCTGAGACCACCGCCCTCTTCCGCCCTCCTGTAGCTTAGTTGGGGTTCAGATTTGGGGGCTGAAGCTCCCAGGCTTCCCCCGCCGCCGTGGCCCAGATGTCACCTCTGGGGCAGCCGGGAGTGTACCCCGAGTTCCACGCGCAGCTTTTCCCCGGAACCTCACCTGCTGCGGTGGAGATAAGTGCGTGGGTTTGGGATCGGACGTGTCCGGCACACGTGTGCAGAGCCCTTGGTTTTGGGTCCTGGGAGGAGCCGTGACACTGCAGGGCGAATGGGCGCAGGAGCAGGGGCCGGGCGCCGTCTCAGCCTGCATTGTGACTTCCGGCGATCTCTGGCCTCTGCCTCGGTTTTCCTATCTGGGAAGTGGGGACAATGCCGGCACCTGCCTCGCTGGGCCTGACGCGTGAATTCACGGTGAGACTGAGACCCGGTGCTGTGGGTGAGCATCGAGCGCAGGGCTCCTCTGGGCCTTGGTTGGCGCTGACCCCTGGGCCTTCTGCCTGGCGCTGACCACTCGCTCTGCGCGTGGGCTTTGCACTGGTGGCAAAGACTCGGGACAGGGCGGAGGAAGCTGAACGTCAGTGCCTGCTGGAGGGAGGACCAGGGATCCTCAGTGTCTGCGCACTCTGCATCCTAACTGTGCGTGTTCACGGATGGCGAGGCTCGGGCGGTGGTCCTGTGACACAGTCCCCCTCCGCGTGTAGTCGGGGAGGTTGGGTGCCGCTGCCTGCCTCGCTCGAGGTGCCTCGGGGCCCAGAGGTTGTTACTCCCGTGTCGGATCTGTGGGGCAGGCTGAAGCCCGGAAGCACCTTGACTTCATGTGTCGCTAAACTGCCGGCTGAGACGGCTGCCCTGCCGAGCCGAAGGTGCTCGGGCAAGCCGGGTCTGAGAGCTCATGGTTCAGGGCAGAGGGTAAGCCGGCGGTCTCCGGGCTTGGGCCTTCACCGTGTGATGGCCGAGGAGCACGTGGCCGAGGAGCGCTCCGTGCTGTGGGCTGCGCCTTGGGCTCTCCGGTGTGTGCGTTCCTTCCCGTGACGGAGGGATTTCACACTCGCCATCGTCTGTGTTCCCCGTAAGGTCCGAGAAGATGGCGAAGTTCCTGACGCCCGTGATCCAGGACAACCCGTCCGGCTGGGGCCCCTGCGCCGTCCCCGAGCAGTTTCGGGACATGCCCTACCAGCCCTTCAGCAAGGGCGACCGGCTCGGGAAGGTGCGTGCGCCCTTGCGTCCCCTCGCGTCGGGAGAGCGGCTGAGGAGGGCGCTGAGCCCTGGGAGCCGTCCCGGGGGAGCCGGGGGCCATTTCTCCTGGTGCTCTGCCGGCCGAGTCCCTCGTCCTGCTTCTGGCTGACCTGAGCGCCCCCTCTGTGCTCCTAGGTTGCGGACTGGACAGGGGCCACGTACCAAGACAAGCGGTACACAAGTAAGTGCTCGCCCGCTGCCGCCGCGCCAGGGCCTGCGGGCGCCGGTGCCTCCTCGCTAGCCTTCCGGAAGCTGTGTAGACGGGAAGGAGGTGCCAGAGGTCGGCTTGGCTGTGGTGCAGCCATGCACAGACGTCTGGGGGAGGCACAGACCCTTGGGGACGTCTGTGGGACACGTCCCTGTGCGGCAGTGCAGCTTGGGTACTGACCACTGAAGCCAGTCGGTGGACTGCAGGTTCAGTCTGGTTTTCAGACCCCGGCGGCGTGGAAGGGGCTGCCCAGCGCGCCAGGCTCGGGTCAGGGCTGCCGGGTGCCGCGGGACGGGGACGGTGCTGCCTGTGCCCGGGATTAGTGTGTGGTCCCTTGGATTCTCCCTGTAAGGGGCGGGCGCCATTGCATTCCTCAGGCTCTGTCTGGCTCAGGTCTTCAGACCAGAGCGTTCAGACGCGAGTGTGCGTGTGACCTGCTGCTTGCGGCTGCTGGGCCTGGGCCTGGCTGCGGGGCTGCACGCCTCACCAGCTGCCTGCCGAGCCCGAGGCCCGAGGCGCGCTTGGGCGAGCAGGCCTGAGTCCGTGGGGCTGCCCGACACGCTGTCCCTTTGCCCCCAGATAAGTACTCCTCTCAGTTTGGAGGCGGAAGTCAGTACGCCTACTTCCACGAGGAGGATGAGACGAGCTTCCAGCTGGTGGACACGGCGCGCACGCAGAAGACTGCCTACCAGCGGAACCGGATGCGCTTCGCACAGGTGGGCCAGCGGCCTGGCCGAGCGGGGCCGAGCCGCCAGGGCTGCTGCGTGGGAGTTCTCGGGGAGGCGCCTGTGCTGGGTCCAGGCACGCGTTTCAGAGCTGATGGTGGCTGACGCTCGTAGGACGACCTCCTGTTTGCTGGAGGAGAGCTGTGGCCTGCCCGCGGCCCCACTAATTGCTGCGTGCAGGCTTTATTGAGGAGCTCTTCCAGTCGGGTTGCGTCTTCACCGCGTAGAGGCCAACTGGGCCGCTCTAACGAAACGCGGGGAACCTGCTTCAGAGAGCAGCTTGTTGTGGGACATGCATCTAAGCGCCCACCCTGAGGCCCCCGCGGCTGCATCCACAGAGTGCCGCGTCACGCGTGGAGTGTCGCGTACTCTGGCAAGCGCATGGCCACGATTTTAACGAGGTTGTTTGTCCTTGCCGGCCAGCGGAACCTCCGCCGAGACAAGGACCGACGGAACATGCTGCAGTTCAACCTGCAGACCCTGCCCAAGAGTGCCAAGCAGAAAGAGAGGTGAGCCCCTCCCTGCCGGCACTCGGCACTCGGCACTCGGCAACCACGGGCCAGAGCGGGAGACGGCCGTCCTCCCCACCGCCACCAAAACGGGACTTCCTAACGCCTGACCCCCGTGACGCCGCCTTCCCAGCCTGTCATTCCCCAGGGCCGGAAACGGACTGCTTACGGACATGCCCGCTAAAGGGAGACAGGTGGAGGAGAGGCAGCTCTGGGGCTGGCCTAGGCTGCGCCCTGCAGGGGCCCAGCCCCCAGGGTCCCCTCCGAATGGTGTGCCACAGCAGCCGCTGCCCCGGTCACTGCCATGGATGGCCGCTGTGGGTGGAGCGAGTAGGCCTGGCCGGTGTGCACCTGCCGGCCTGCCGTTCTCTAAGCCCACATCTCCCAGCATTCAGGGAAGTCAGCCACGAGGCTGCCGTTCCTCGGAAGCGAAGGGCAGCGTCCTCTGTCTCTGACGAAGCCGCCAGCCTGCAGGTCTGCGCTGAGGCCGCACGTTCTGTCTTTCAGGGAACGCATTCGGCTGCAGAAAAAATTCCAGAAGCAATTTGGAGTGAGGCAGAAGTGGGACCAGAAGTCACAGGTAACCTGTGTGCGGGGACATGATCCTGCCTGCCTCCTTTTTTATTTTTTTTTTATTTATTTTTTTATTTTTTTGACAGGCAGAGTGGACAGTGAGAGAGAGAGAGAGACAGAGAGAAAGGTCTTCCTTTGCCGTTGGTTCACCCTCCAATGGCTGCCGTGGCTGGCACACCGGGCCACAGCAGAGAGCTGGCCTGGAAGAGGGGCAACCAGGACAGAATCCGGCGCCCCGACCGGGACTAGAACCCGGTGTGCCGGCGCCGCAAGGTGGAGGATTAACCTAGTGAGCCGCGGCGCTGGCCCTGCCTGCCTTCTTAAGGGCCTCATTGAGATGCTGTCACAGCCCGTGCATTTTGTGGTTTTCCCTGTAGTCACGGTTAGGCCGCCATCTCGGCCTTTGTCATGCCCTGATGAAAGCTTGTGCCCTGTGTAGTCACCGCTACTCCCCCTCGTCGTGGGCAGCCCCTACTCTACTTCCTGTCTGGGCTTCCTCTTATGAACATGTCACTGGAATCGTGCAGTAGTATGTGGTCTTTTTGTGACCAGCACCTTCTCTCTTTCTCTCTCTCTTTTTTTTTTTTTTTTTTTTAGATTTATTTTATTTGTTTGAATGACAGAGTTACAGAGAAAGGTCTTCCAACCACTGACTCACTCCCCAAATGGCCATGACGGCCGGAGCTGAGCCAATCCGGAGCCAGGAGCTTCTTCCGAGTCTGCCATGCAGGTGCAGGGGCCCAAGTACTTGGGCCATCCACCGCTGCTTTCCCAGGCACGTGAGCAGGGAGCTGGATGGGAAGTGGAGCAGCTGGGACTTGAACCGGCATCCATATGGGAGGCCAGCACTGCAGGCCAGAGCTTTAACCTGCCGTGTCGTAGCGCCGGCCCCAGCACCATCTCTTTATCATCATGTTTCTGAGGTTCGTCCGCCCTGCGGCCTCTGTACTTTATTCCTTTTCAGCTGTTCACCGGTTGGTGGTCATTGAGTTTTCCCACTCTGAGGCTTTTATGCATCGTGCCGCTATGAACATTAGTGTGCAGATGTTCGTGCGGACACATGTAAGCAGAAGTGAGCTTACAGTAGGAACATCTCAGTGAGTCTCACGAGAGAAACAGTAAAAGCCAGGGCCAGTGTGTGGACACCTGAGGCTGTGACAGCCCTGTCAGAGGCCACTCAGCACTCCAGCTGCTGTGCGCCCAGCTGGTGGCCCTGGGAAAGCAGCTGATAACCCGGCATCTGGGGCCCTGCCACCCATGTGGGAGACCAGAATGGAGTTAAGACCTGGCTGTTGCAGCCATTTAGGGAGTGAACCGGTGGATGGAAGATGTCCCTTTCTCTGCCTTCAAATAAATAACATTTTCTTTAAAAAAAAAACAACTGTAAAGGGGCCATTGTGTGTTCCCTGGGTGACAGCGGTCCCTGGGCGTGGATCCCATTCTTCGTGAGCTCCTGACCCAGGTCCCCAGAGAGCTTGAGAGCCAGAATGCGCAGCCAGCGCGGGGCTCACTAGCAGCAGCCCTTCAATTCTCCGCTGTCTCGGCTGCTTTCCCGCACAGAAGCCGCGGGACTCCTCGGTGGAGGTGCGCAGCGACTGGGAGGTGAAGGAGGAGATGGACTTCCCTCAGCTGCTGAAGATGCGCTACCTGGAGGTGTCCGAGCCTCAGGACATGTGAGTAGCGCCGGCCTGAGCCGCTGCTCAGAGATGCCGGCTTTGAACAAGGAAGAGGGGCGGGGTGGGGGGAGTGGTTACACTTGAGGCTTCCTTCCCCTCCCTGGAACCCCGAGCAGAGGAGATGGAAAGGGGGAAGGGAGAACGCAGGACAAGTCTGCTGGTGCTAGCTCCGGTCTCTGCCAGCTCCCTGGCACCCACAGCGAGGCACGCTGGTCTACAGCGTTCCTCAGAGGCAAGGAGCCGGAGCTAAGTGGGTGGGGACCCGGCGCTGCGGGAGTCAGCGCACAGGCGCCTCTGGGACAGCCCAGCCCTGGCCCCGGGCTTCAGGCTTTAAGACGAGGAGGCTGTGCGGGCGCCATGGCCAAGCAGATGGAGGCGTGGCTTTGGGCGCCCCCATCCCGTACCCATACGCCTCACTTCCGGTGCAGCTCCTGCTGACGCGCTGGAGAGGCAGCAGGATAGCCCAGGTGCTGAGGTCCTGCACCCACGTGGGAAACCCAGGTGGAGTTCCAGGCTCCTGCCTTCTGCCCGGCCCCGCCCTGTGGTTGAGGGCTTTGGGCGGATGAACCGGGGGATGGAAGGCCTGTCACCCTGCCCTTCAAGTAAACCTTTGATGGGGAACAGGTAGCACGAGGAGGCTGGGCGCAGGGGTTGCGTTTGCCCCGCTCTGTGGGGGCAGGGGCAGAGCCCACAGAGAGCACATCCCCCCGTAGAGCTCACTGCTCTCCGTCTCCGTGCCTCAGCCTCTGGATCAGGCCTCGGCGGGCTTGGCGCCGCCCTTACCCGGTCTGTCCGCCTCTCCCACAGCGAGTGCTGCGGGGCCCTGGAATATTACGACAAGGCCTTCGACCGCATCACCACGCGGAGCGAGAAGCCACTGCGCAGCATCAAGCGCATCTTCCACACGGTCACCACCACGGACGACCCCGTGATCCGCAAGGTCTGCCCCCGCCCCGCCCTCCCCGCTGGGATCACGGCCGAGCTCCGGGGCCGGCTGAGAGCGGCATGTTTGTGTGTGTGGTTGGAACTGTTACATAAGTCTTGGAGTCAGACTGACGGTTAGATGGGAACAAGGCCAAGGGCGGCCGGGGCGTAGATGAGTGTGGACAGTGCCTGACCCGGATCCCAGCCCTGCCGGGCCGCCTGGATTCAGCTCCGCAGCCTTAGTTTGCTCGTCTGTGAAAGGGGTTTAGTGTACGCAGCCGTGCCGTGGGGAGCAGGGCGAGCCACCGGGGACCACTCGCCACAGTCTGCGGGGGCTCAGCCACGGTCCTGGTGACGCTGCTAACGGACGCTCCAGCTGCTAGGCTGCAGCCCTCTCGGGCACCCGGGGAGGCGTAGGGACGAGAAAGGCAGGGGCCGTGCGGCGAGCAGAGGCGGGAGTGGGCAGCTGGACCGGGGGTGTCTCGTCCTTGCAGCTGGCTAAGACCCAGGGGAACGTGTTCGCCACTGACGCCATCCTGGCCACGCTGATGAGCTGCACGCGCTCCGTGTACTCCTGGGACATCGTGGTCCAGAGAGTCGGGTCCAAGCTCTTCTTCGACAAGCGGGACAACTCTGACTTTGGTGAGGGGCTTTTCAAGGCACAGCCCGAAGGCCTGGGGGAGGTGTGGTCACAGCGGGCATCTCAGGGTGTGCACGGTGTGTGCTGGTCACAGCGGGCCAGCCAACACGTCCCCTTCTGCGGTCTCCCTCTGCTGTGCGCCGCTGGGGACTCCTTCTGTCCGGCCGTGAGTCGCTCGCCAAGCCTTGGGTGACTTTGTTGACGGAGAATAAGCCCCACGTTGGAGAGCCGTAGGAAAGTGTCTGCCTCCCCCGGGTGTGGATGGCACCACACTCTGCTTCCAGACTATGCGCACTTCGTATTTCTGATTAAATGGAAGGCCCCCTGGCTGTTTTTTGCTGCAGTGAGTTTACCAAGGAAACAATACATTTATTTGATATGTAAATATGGATACACACACAGCCACAATGAAAACCAGGCCACTCAGAAGATAAAAGAGAATAATGGTGGTTGGTTTGTTTGTTTTAACAGCCAGTTAGACAGAAAGAAACAGAGAGAAAGGTCTTCCTTCCGTGGGTTCATCCCCCAAATGGTCGCTACAGCTGGCGCTGCGCCAATCCAAAGCGAGGAGCCAGGTACTTCTGGTCTCCCCTGCGGGTGCAGGGCCCAAGCACTTGGACCATCCTCCACTGCACTCCCGGGCCACAGCAGAGAGCTGGCCTGGAAGAGGAGCAACCGGGACAGACTCCGGCGCCCCAGCCGGGACTAGAGCCCCGGGGTGCTGGCACCTAGCCTAGTGAGCCGGAGCTCGGCTGGAATGATGGTGCTCTAAGCTTGAAGCCTGAGGCCGTTTCTTTGTTGAAAGGCTGACGGAATCAAGTATTCTGAAGTTACCCAAGTGTGTCACACAGTGGCTGGCTGTTCCATGAAGGGAGGGCCTGTGTCCTGGGGCTGTCCACATTGCTGGGGGCTCTTGCCAGGGTGGGTGACCACGCTGCCATTTCCGCAGACCTGCTGACCGTGAGCGAGACAGCCAATGAGCCCCCGCAGGATGAAGGCAACTCCTTCAACTCGCCCCGCAACCTGGCCATGGAAGCGACATACATCAACCACAACTTCTCCCAGCAGTGCCTGAGAATGGTGAGCAGACAGGCGTGGGCTGACGGCAGCTTTGCTGCCACCGATTGCACCTGCTTCGGACTGGGCTCTGGGGTTATGGGATTGTAGGGGACAGGTGTGGTCCGTGCCTGTGGCCGAGGAGTTTTGAACTTGGGCTTTGAACCCTGGATTCCTCTACTTAATAGCTAGCTTGTGGCCTTGGCGTGTTTCCTCCCTGTAAAACTATAACACACGAGTTCTTTAACAAGTTTGTGGAAAATGGATTGAAAAGGTGTTTGTTTTGGTGCCAACAAAAATTTGAAAATGATGCATCTTCAACACATTTTCCACGAATGTTTTGAAGACTCCTTTTGTGTGGACTTCAGTTTTTTGCAAACTTACCTTTTAACTCCATTCTCCAGACTTGTGAAGTCCCCTCGTACTAGCACTTGTCTGACAGACGTGACACTGCTCTAGGCGGTGGGACCAGCCGAGCCCTCCCTTGGGAGCCGCGTGGCAGCGGAGCGGAGGGGCGCGGACGCTGGCTAGGAGCCGTGCTGTGGGGTGGCACGGGACTGGCGTGTCGGAACTCAGTGCCGGCGTCAGGAGGGTGAGGGAACAGCAGGCCTCTGACGCCTCTCTGGCCTCCTGCAGGGGAAGGAGCGGTACAACTTCCCCAACCCAAACCCGTTCGTGGAGGACGACATGGACAAGAACGAGATCGCCTCCGTTGCGTACCGGTAGGCGCCTCTCTGGGGCGCGAGCTCCTGGCGGGAGGTGGGGCGAGGGCCGGGCCGGGACCCAGCACTGCTCTGTCCTTGCAGCTACCGCAGGTGGAAGCTGGGGGACGACATTGACCTCATCGTGCGCTGTGAGCACGACGGGGTCATGACCGGAGCCAACGGGGAAGTGTCCTTCATCAACATCAAGACCCTCAACGAGTGGGATTCCAGGGTGAGCCCCAGCTGGAGGAGCCGCCTCCTTCTGTCACCTTGACTCTGTCTGGTTTTCGTGCTTTGAGCTTTCCCTCCGCTTAGCGCCTCACTGAGCAGGAGCGTGGGCGTGTAGAACGCACTGCTTCAGCAGCCTCCGCCAAGCAGCAGCCCCCTTCCCCTGGTCTGTCCTCATCCCCGCTCCATCCTGACCCCTGTTGGCATCGCCGTGTGCGTGTCCGGCTCCCGCCCCGCCTGTCGTCCAGGCCGGTGGTCTCCCTGCAGGCCCAGCCGCCCGTGCTGGACTCGGACGCTCGCTCAGCATCACAGGAAGCTGCTTCCCTCACGTCCTCCCTCGTGCTGGCGTGGTGCTGTTGGGCCATGGGTGGACTGCGGGGGCGGCAGGGCTCCGGGCTGCTGTGCGGGACAGAGGTTGCTCGGCAGGAAGCCCGAAGGCCCAACTCTGCTGAGTTAGGTCTTTTTTTTTTTTTTTTTTTTTTTTTTTTTTTTGACAGGCAGAGTGGACAGTGAGAGAGAGAGACAGAGAGAAAGGTCTTCCTTTGCCGTTGGTTCACCCTCCAATGGCCGCCGCGGCTGGCGCACCGCACTGATCCGATGGCAGGAGCCAGGTGCTTTTCCTGGTCTCCCATGAGGTGCAGGGCCCAAGCACCTGGGCCATCCTCCACTGCACTCCCGGGCCACAGCAGAGAGCTGGCCTGAAGAGGGGCAACCGGGACAGAATCCGGCGCCCCGACCGGGACTAGAACCTGGTGTGCCGGCGCCGCTAGGTGGAGGATTAGCCTAGTGAGCCACAGCGCCGGCCCTGAGTTAGGTCTTCTATCCACTGCTTCACTCCCCAAATGGCTGCAATGGCTAGACCGATCTGAAGCCAGGAGCTTCTTCCGGGTCTCCCACACAGGTGCGGGGTTCCAGGCACTTGGGCCACCTGCTGCTGCCCTCCCGGGCCAGAGCAGACAGCTGGGTCGGAAGAGGAGCAGCCGGGACTCGAACCGGCGCTCATGGGATACTGGCACTGCAGGCTGAGACTCAGCCTACTACACCACAGCGCCGGCCCCTCTCTTTTTTTCTCATTTTGTTTTTTGTTTTCTGGGGGGTTTATTGGCACAGTTTAGTGGCATTTCTTTTTTTATTTCAGGGTACTCCTTTGTGCAGCCTTGCGTTAGTGCTGCTCTGCTTCATAACAGATGCGCCTCTAGAAAGAGCAGCTCCAGGGCCAGCGCCGCGGCTCACTAGGCTAATCTTCCTCCTTGCGGCGCCGGCACACCGGGTTCTAGTCCCGGTCGGGGCGCCGGATTCTGTCCCAGTTGCCCCTCTTCCAGGCCAGCTCTCTGCTGTGGCCCGGGAGTGCAGTGGAGGATGGCCCAAGTGCTTGGGCCCTGCACCCCATGGGAGACCAGAAGTACCTGGCTCCTGCCATTGGATCGGCGCGCCGGCCGCAGCGGCCATTAGAGGGTGAACCAACGGCAAAAGGAAGATGTCTCTCTCTCTCTCACTGTCCACTCTGCCTGTCAAAAAAAAAAAAAAAAAATCAAGAAAACTTAAAAAAAAAAAAAAAAAGCAGCTCCAAGGGATGCCCGGAACTGCTGACTCACAGCTCTGTCGGCGACGAGTCTACACGCGTACACGCAGCGGCCGGGTTCTCTGGGCTGGCACCAGAATTAGGTTCTTGACAGGGGTCTGGAGGAAACCCACCTCCTGACTCGGGTGCTGGCAGCGCTGTGGGCACGCAGGTCCCAGAGTCACGGCGGTGACAGTTACCCAGCCGCACGCTGTGGCCACAGTGAGGGCAGGGGTCCCTGCGGGCCAGCCTGATCCTGTCTGCCCCAAGCCTCAGCTGTAAACTCTACAAGGACGCTGGGCTGCCTCTGACGCTGCCGTTGGTTTTGTGCTACAGCCCCTCCCTTCCCGCGCCCTCCTGCTGTGGCCTCTGGCGTGGCTGCTCCCCTACGACCCTGTGCTCAGCTGCAGCCTGACCCTGGGCCCTGGAGTTCGCACAGACCCCATCCTCAGACCTGCTGGAGCCGCCTCCTGCCCGAGCTCCCAGCCCACGCCCAGATCCAGTTTCTCCCAGCTAACTCCCAGCTGTTTCCATCTCGCAGCCCTGCTGGGCGGAAGGGCTCTTAGAACGCCGTGGCGTTGGCACGGTGCTGAGGGGAACAGGCGTGGGGCTCCACCTGCTCTCGGGTTTGGACCGATGGCTTCAGTGGAGGAGCTCTTGTGTATTTCCTCTGGCTGGGGACCTGCGTGCAGCCCCTGAGCAGTGCTCCCCTCCGGGTCAGGGTCCCCACGCCCCCCGCCCTCCCCCGGTCACCAGGGCCTTCCTCCCGCAGCACTGCAACGGCGTGGACTGGCGGCAGAAGCTGGACTCCCAGCGTGGGGCCGTCATCGCCACGGAGCTGAAGAACAACAGCTACAAGCTGGCGCGCTGGACCTGCTGCGCGCTGCTGGCCGGGTCCGAGTACCTCAAGCTGGGGTGAGCGGCCCTGGGCGGCCGTGGGCGGGGCATCGGGGCGGGCAGGAGGCTGGGCCCCGCCCCCCACCAACACCCCGCCCCGCCCCAGGTACGTGTCCCGCTACCACGTGAAGGACTCCTCGCGCCACGTGATCCTGGGCACGCAGCAGTTCAAGCCCAACGAGTTCGCCAGCCAGATCAACCTGAGCGTGGAGAACGCCTGGGGCATCCTGCGCTGCGTCATCGACATCTGCATGAAGCTGGAGGAGGGCAAGTACCTGATCCTCAAGGACCCCAACAAGCAGGTCATCCGCGTCTACAGCCTGCCCGACGGCACCTTCAGCTCCGACGAGGACGACGACGACGAGGAGGAGGAGGAGGAAGAGGAGGAGGGTGTGTAGTGACCTAGTGACCCTGGGAGAGGGGAGACCGCCTGACACTCGAGAGTAGGGTGCGCCCTGGCTGCAGGAGCTCCTGCAGAGCCGTAGGTCACGTGGTGGTGGTGGGCGGGGGCGTGGTCTTCAGGGGCGCCTCTTGAGCGAGGGGAGGGTCCCAGGCAGGGCACTGGCCTGCCCTGAGCAAGAGAGACCCCCAGGTGAGTTACCAGTGAGGGCCGCCGCAGCTGCTCCCCCTGCTGGTGACCGAAGACGCCGCCAGTCAGTCCCGTGAGGACCTGGGGCTGGGGTTCACCCGGGGTGCAGAGGCCGGCGGCTGCCACGGCACACCCAGCGTGGCTCACGGCTGTCACCATCCTTGTCTTCCAGAGGAAGAAACTTGAGCAGACAGTGACGCTGGCCTTGAGTGATCCCCCAGCCTGACCGGCCTTCGGTGCTGAGCTGGGACTCCTGCTCCGGTGGTGCACGGCTGGGAAGGGCCTAATAAAGGATGAGTGTCTTCACGCCCGTGCCTCCTTGTCCGCCTCCAGTCGTGGCCGCGGGCCCCGCAGAACCCTCCAGTGCGAGGCCCGCGGGCTGCTGCCTGACTCCTGCCGTCGGAACAGCGGGGCAGGCGCCGCACAGGTGCCTCGGGAGATTTGAGGGCTGTCCCGGGGTGGGCTGTGGGTTGTCTTCAGGCTTGATGTGTGGCGACAGCCTCCAGCCGGCCCTGAAAGCAGTGTGGGAGCGGTCGGAGGTTCAGGACAGAGCCTTGGGGGTGGGTTGGATGAAGTGATGACCTGGCGGGGGTGCAGTGCCGTCGGCATCCGTGGGCGCTCGGCCTGGTGGTTAGGCGGCTGCTGCCGGAGTGCCGGGGGGCCAGTTCCCAACTCCTGCTCCCTGCTGGCGAGGACCCCGGGAGGCAGCAGGTGCCGCAGTAGCCGGGTGCCTGCTACCCACATAGCAGCCCTGGACCCGCCCCTGCTCCAGTGCTGCTCTGCGCCCCGCCCCACCACCTCGGGCCACTCAGGGTGTTTGGGGTGTGCACCAGCAATGACAGCTCCACCTCTGCTCCAACTTTTGTTTTTGTTTTTGTTTTTTAAGTGTATTTGAAAGGGGTTGGGGGCAGTCTTCCATCTGCTGGGTCACTCTTCAAATGGCCACAACAGCCAGGACTGGGCCAGGCTGAAGCCAGGAGCTTCTCGCGGATCTGTCACGTGGGTGCAGGGGCTCAAGCACTTTGCCCATTCTCTGCTGCTTTCCCAGGCACAGGAGCAGGGAGCTGGATCGGGAGTGGAGCGGCTGGAACTCAAAACCAGCACCCAGGTGGGATGCTGGTGTCGGCTGGCAGCTTCACCCACTGCACCACAATGCTGGCCCATCCAATGCTGTAGAAAACAAGGGGGGGGGGGGGCGCTGGCATCCCATATGGGTGCTGGTTTGAGTCCCAGCTGCTCCACTTCCCATCCAGCTCTCTGCTGTGGCCTGGGGAAGCTGTGGAAGATGCCCCAAGTGCGTGGGCCCCTGCACCGTGTGGGAGACCTGGAGGAGGCTCCTGGCTCCCGATCAGCTCACTCCAACCACTGCAGCCATCTGGGGAGCGAACCAGCGGATGGAAGACCTCTCTGCAACTGCCTTTCAAATCAAATCTCTTTAAAAAGGGACTAGTTACGTACGATATAAGCCTCAGAAAGCCAGCAGGGGAATGATGCTGGAAGGAGCACGCGGTGCTTGGGAGTATCCAGTGTCAAGTGTTTCCAAAAAAATAAAAATTGGTGTGGCAGGTGCCGTGGGTTTCAAGGCTGCGTCGGCATTCACCGCGTTGGACCTCGCCAGCCCATGGCCCAACCCGACGGGACTGAGGGAGCCCCAGGCAGGCGGGAGTGACGCAAGCCTCCTCAGGCAGGCGTGGGACTCCCCCCACCCAGTGAGAAGCCCCGCGTGGCATAGCGAGGGTTGGCCTTGCCCGTGAGGCCCCCACGCGTGTTCAGCCCGGGCTGACGGGGGAGCCGCTGCCCGGAGAGGTCAGGCCTCCCCTCGGCGAAGCCCGGGGCGCAGAGTCCTCGGGCGGGCTTCCCTCACGGGCCCGCACCCCATGCTGCCGCCGCCGCCGGGTCCACTTTCTCCGCGCACGTTCCCAGGGTGTTCCCCCCGTAGCTGTGGGGGCTTCCGCAAGCCCCGTGCACCCCGGCCTGGCCGGCGTCAGATCCGGTCCCCCGTGCGTGCGTGGCCGTTGGTCCCGCAAGGCCGGGCAGGCCGCCTGGCGCCCATCCTGGATGCGCGAATGGGGACGGCAGCGCGGGGCTCGTCTCCAAACCGCACGTGCTCTCATCCCCTCCCTCGCACGGGCGCGGCGCGGCTCTAAAGCCAACAGCCCCGTCCCGCGCCGGTTTTCTCAAGCAGACCCCGCAGACCCCCCGGCGGGCCTGCGCGAGCCCCCAGTGCCCGCGCTCCCGGCGTGCAGCGCGCCGCGCACGTGACCCCGCCCACTGCCCTGCGCCAGGCGGGAGGGGCGTGGCCGCTGCAGCGGCGCGAGCGAGGCGGGGCGGACTTCGCGGACTGAGGGCCGGCCGTCGGAGCGGCCAGGAGGAGGGTCTCGCTCTGCCGGGGTCGGGGTGGGGTCGACCGGACGAGAGCAAGTGGGAGCTGCGGGTGTGGGTACCGCGCAGGCGCAGGCCGCCGGATCCCGGAGCGCGCGCGCAGGAGGGCGGCAGGTGTGCCGGGGCATCCGTGGCGTGGCCCAGGAGGCGGGGGCGCGCCGCACCTGTCCGGGGGCGGGGCCCACGCAGACCACGCCTCCATCAGGCTCCGCGGGAGGGCCGTGGAACGTGGGGACGGCTCCCTGGGGGTGATGGGCGCGCCCTCCAGTTGGGGTGCAGTGGAGGGAGCACGCAGCCCTGCCCCGGGTCGCGGTTCCCATGGCAACCAGAAGGGGGCTGGCGGCCCTGGGAGAGGAGGCCGTGGCGGGGATGAGCGGTAGGGGTTCGAGACCCGTGCCGGGAGCCCCGTGCTCCGGTCAGGACAAATGAGCCCCGAAGGCGCAGGGCTCCAGCGCTGGCCGTGGTCCGAGTCACAGTGAGAGCTCAGGCGGGTTCCCAGTGAGCCTGCAGAATGTGGGGCTCCCCGGGGCTGCTGCTGACCCTCGCGCTGCACCCGGCGCTCGCCGTGGCCCCGGCCCGGGACTACTGCGTGCTGGGCGCCGGGCCCGCGGGCCTGCAGATGGCTTACTTCCTGCAGCGGGCCGGCAGGGACTACACGGTGCTCGAGCGCGCCCCGGGCCCGGGCAGCTTCTTCGCGCGCTACCCGCGGCACCGCAAGCTCATCAGCATCAACAAGCGCTACACGGGCAGGAGCAACGCCGAGTTCAACCTCCGCCACGACTGGAACTCCCTGCTCAGCCACGACCCGCGGCTGCTCTTCAAGCACTACTCGGCCGCCTACTTCCCCGACGCCGGCGACATGCAGCGCTACCTGGGCGACTTCGCGGGCAGGCTGGGGCTCCGCGTGCAGTACAACACGACCGTCCTGCACGTCGCCCTGGACAAGGACCGGCGGGCCTGGAACGGCCACTACTTTGTCCTGACTGACCACAAGGGCCGGGTGTACCGGTGCAGGTAAGGAGCCGGCGCCCTAGCACCTGCAGGAGCTGGGATTTCAGACCCGAGTGGGAGTGAGACACCCCCCTCCCCAGCCCAGCCCAGCCGCCAAGCAGGGGGCCTCCGGCGATGAGTTTCTGCTTCCTTTGGTGGCCAGGCCCTAGACGTGTGCAGCCTTCACAAGGAACCCCCGGGAAGGCTCGCCAGTCCCCATTTCTCTGGAGAGGGGAGGCGCTGAGGAGGGGAGTGACTGGCGCTCTGACACCCGGTGGCTGCGGGCCCCACTGTGGCTCCAGCTGCAGCCTCCCCTCCTGACCCTGACCTCCTCCCCGGGCCGCAGGCAGGGCTCGGCCAGTGTTCATCAGATACCTTGCTGCTCGCCTGCTCCAAGGGGGCAACTCAGCACGGTGGACAAGGGTCAGAGAACAGGGACCAGTGGGGGTGGCCTGAGCCTGTGCCCCGTACAGGCAGATAGAGGGAGAGAGAGATCTGCTGGGGGCTGGCTCACTCCTGGGCCAAAGCCAGGAGTCCAGACCGCAAGCCCGGTCTCCCACATGGGCAGCAGGAACCTAAATACTTGCGCCTCCGCCTGCTGCCTCCCAGGGCGCACGTTAGCAGGAAGCTGGCATCGGAGGGAGCCGGGACTCAACGCCAGGCCCCCTGAGATGCAGGCCTCCCAAGCGGCATCCTAACCACGGTGCCGAAAGCTCACCCCCAGTTGGGTTTTTACAGTCTGGCCTGGCTGTGCGCAGAGCTGCCCCCGGGGACTGGGGTCTGCCAGGCCGAGTCGGGGAGGTTTTGGGGGGTGAACGAGGTGATGCCAAGCTCCCCCAGCACGGGGAGCTGAGTTCCTGCTCAGCAGGTGCGGGCCTCGGCCAGGCACACCAGAAGGGGACGCGGAGCACCGGCTGCATTCTTCACCTTGGGCAGACGCTTGGCCTGGCGCCCCGTGCCCAGCCAGGTGCAGCACTCCCTTTCCCCTTGCATCACCGCCTGCCCCCTGGTGGCTGTGATCCCAGCAGGGTGTCAAGGGGAGGGATTCACCAGCCACCCGGATAAGCCTGTGAATGAATGAATGAGTGAATGAGTGATGTCCTCCAGAGGGTGACCCGGTGTCCCCGCCGGCAGAGTCCTTCTCGTAGCCACCGGGCTGTCCGTCCCCAACCGCGTTGACTTCCCCGGCTCTGAGCACCTGGAGGGTTACGAGTCGGTGTCGGTGGACCCCGAGGACTTCGTGGGCCAGAACGTGCTGATCCTGGGCCGTGGGAACGCGGCCTTCGAGACCGCCGAGAACATCCTGGGCGTCACCAACTTCATCCACATGCTGAGCCGCTCCCGCGTGCGGCTCTCCTGGGCCACGCACTACGTGGGGGACCTCAGGTGAGCCCCGCCCCGCCGGCGTCTGCCGCTGCCCGCAGGCCCAGCGCCCCCTCCCTCGCCCTCGCCGCCCTCCTCTGAGGCCCCCTCCTTCTCCCCGCCTCCTCGTGTGCCCCAGAGCCATCAACAACGGCCTGCTAGACACCTACCAGCTCAAGTCCCTGGATGGGCTGCTGGAGTCGGACCTGACGGACCTAGCCATCCTGAAGGACCGCGAGGGCAAGTTCCACGTGACCCTGAAGTTCTTCGTGGAGGAAGCCGGCACCAACCAGAGCGCCGACGCCGTCACCCTCCCCCAGGACGACAGCGACAACTTTGCCATGCGGGTGGCCTACGACCGGGTCATCCGCTGCCTGGGCTGGAACTTCGACTTCTCCATTTTCAACGAGTGAGTCCTGCAGGGGGCGGCGCCGCGGTGGCGGCCACCCCTTCTGCCCGCTCCGGGGGGACAGGGTGGTGGCCGCTCAGCGGGTGGCAGCAGGACAGAGAAGGGCTCCTGCCCACTGCTGCTCCCGGGGGCCCTGAGGCCCTCCGTCCTGGAGTGGCTGCAAGTCCTCATCTGCTCTGTGAGCTTCCAACAGCTTCCATACATCAGATGTATTTATTTATTTGAAAGGCAGAGTTACAGAGAGGCAGAGAGAGAGAGAGAGAGAGAGAGAGGTCTTCCATCTGTTGGTTTACTCCCCAGTTGGCCACAATGGCCGGAGCTGCGCCAATCCAAAGCCAGGAGCCAGGAGCTTCTTCCAGGTCTCCCACGCAGGTGCAAGGACCCAAGGACTTGGGTCATCTCCTACTGCTTTCCCAGGCCACAGCAGAGAGCTGGATCAGAAGTGGAGCAGCCGGGTCTGGAACCGGCACCCATATGGGATGCGGGCACTGCTTCGCCACAGTGCTGGTCCCAGTTTCTTCATTTCTAAACTGGGGACAATCATGTCTCTTTCACAGGGCTATGTGAGTAATTGCATAAGAAAGTGTTTGGCTTCTACTATTCACTGAGTAAAATAGTAGTTGCTAAAACCACATACGATTGTATTTTGCTTAATGGAGCCTGGTCTTTGACTGCCCAGTACCAAGTGAGGCTTGGTACCAGTGCTGCCATCCGAGTCCCTCACTTGCCTTTGGCCAGGGCCCAAGAGGACAAGGAGAAGCCAGTGGCCAGGACACAGCGGGACTAAGACTTCCTCGCAAGCCCAGCCATGGCTCCGTCCTGCCGTGACCTTACATACCTAAGCCCCAGCCCCTTTGGGTGCTGGATGAAGGTGACTGTGCCACCTGCTGGGTCAGGTGAGGGGAGAGGAGTTGACGATGCACTTGGTGACCGCAGGGCAGCCGTGAGACGCGCGGCCTCTTAGCCCCGTCTCGCTTCCAGGTCCCTGAGACTGTCCTCGGGGAGCGAGTTCAGCAGGAAGTACCCCCTGATCAGAGCCAGCTATGAGGCCAAAGGCAGCCGGGGTCTCTTCGTCCTGGGCACCGCCAGCCACTCGGTAGACTACCGGAAGTCGGCGGGGGGCTTCATCCACGGATTCCGGTACACAGGTGAGCCAGCGGCGAGGGCCGCTGACCCCACGCGGAACCACACGTGTTCTCCCCGGGCCCCCAAACACTGCTGAGTTCCCGAAGTGTCAGGGATTGCTCCTCAGTGGTTGGCGGGTGTGAGTTCGCTGTGTGTGCCAGGTGACGGCAGTGTTCGTGGCCTGAGCGTTTGCCTGGCTAAGTTCCGGGCGAAGTGTGAAAGTAGCGACGCCTGCGGGGACACGCGCGGCGGGCTGTGCCTGGAGAGGGGCTGGGCCCGCGCACAGGACCTGCCTGCACCTCGCTCGTCTTTCAGTCGAGAAAGTCCTGAGGGACAGAGGCAGGCCGGGAGGCAGAGGAGGGCGACAGAAGACGGAGATGGGACACGGATGGGCTGGAAGCCATGTCCCCTCCCCTCCGAGGTCCGCACCTCATCTCCATCCGAGCTGGGGCCTCCCCCCTCTCCTAGCTGCCTTCCTGCCACTGGTCCCTGTTTCTGCCCAGCCCCCGTGGCTCCTGCCACAGCCACTGTCTGGAAACAAAGCCTCTCACCTCCTCTGCTCACACTACGTCAGCAGCTTCCGTTCCCCTGGGCAAGGCCGGCTCCTCGCAGGCATTGCGGGTTTGGCATGGGCTGGGGCTGGTCAGACTCCCTTCCCCGCCCCCTCCCCCTCCCCCTCTTCCCCCACCCCCCATGCAAACCCTGCTTTTCAAAGCGTGTCAGGTGCGCTTTGACCTTACCGTGTGTGTATGTCACCTCCTTTGTCCGGGGCACCCTCCCACCCTCTCCAGCTGTGCCCTCCAAGCCTATCACCAGCCTTGGCTTCCTCCTGTTGCCTCCAGGGAGGCTGAGCATCTTCTCCTGCCGTTAGTGGCCCACCGGGCGCCCTCCCTGTGAGCCGCCTGCCTTCAGGGGGCTTGGGGGTGGGGAGATCCGGCCCCTGTGTGCATGGCAGCCCCAGGCATTCAGAAAGCCCTCTCCCCGTGTTCTGGGCGGCAGCACACAGAGCGTCTCTCAGCAGACCGGGCTTGGGCTGGGAAAGAGGAAGCAGACTTCCCACGTGTGGGGTTCTGTAGGAGCAGGGGCCACGAGGCAGGGGGACTTCCGAGGAAGGCCGTGTGGCTGGTTTGCCGTCCCGGGGCGAGCTGTGGGCGGGCGGGCCTGGCCTGCTCCCGGGATCCCTGTTTGTGAGCCTGCTTCCATGCGAGGGGCAGGATTGCATTGTGAGTGGCTCACAACGCAGGGGCCAGGCAGGGCCCTTGGAAAGCTCAGGAAAAAGCTATGCGTGCCTTTTAACCACGCTGGCATCAAATAAATATCCCTTTCTGATTTTTACTTGCGCGTTTTATTTATCTGAGAGACACAGACACCACTGGCTCCCTTCCCAAAAGCCTGGGAAGCAGGAGCTCATCCGGGTCTCCCACGTAGGCGCCGGGGACAGACCCCTCGAGCATCCCCTGCTGCCTCCAGGGTGCACCTTAGCAGGAGGCTGGGGCGGGGAGACCCAGGCCTCCAGTGTAGGGTGCCCGTCTCCCAAGTCGTGTCCTAACTGCCCTGCCAAATGCCCGCCCCTACGCTTGCCTCTTTTTTTTTAAGATTTATTTATTTATTTGAAACTCAGACACGCTTCCATCCACTGGTTCACTCCCCAAATGGCTGCAGTGGCCGGCTACCAGCCTGGAACTCCATCCGGGCCTCCCACGTGGGTGCAAGGGACCCAAGCACTTGCACCATCTTCCGCAGCTCTCCTGGGTGCAGGAGCAGGGAGCTGGATCGGAAGTGGAGCAGCTGGGGTGTGAACCAGCGCCCATATGGGATGCCGGCATCTCAGGCGGAGGCTTAACCTGCTTCTCCATAGCACCAGCCCCTAAATTATCTCTTAATTGCATTTTTTTAAAGGATTTTCTTTCTTTATTTGAGAGGTAGAGTTACAGACAGAGAGAGGGAGAGACAGAGAGAGAGGTCTTCCATCTGCTGGTCCACTCCCCAGCTGGCCGCAACAGCCAGAGCTGCGCTGATCCGAAGCCAGGAGCCAGGAGCTTCTTCCAGGTCTCCCATGTGGGTGCAGGGGCCCAAGCACTTGGGCCGTCTTCTGCTGCTTCCCCAGGCCATAGCGGAGAGCTGGATCAGAAGAGGAGCAGCCAGGACTTGAACCGGTGCCCTTCAATTACATTTTTGCACACCCTGTTTGAAGCACTCTCACCTTCATCCTTTGGCCCTTTCTGGCCCCCTGCTCTGAGGGCGTCTGCCTGAGCAGAGTAAGCAGGCGTGTGCTGGTTTGGGAGAAGCTGAGGGCCCGTGAGGAGCAAAGGTCGGCTCTGAGCTGCAGCCTCCCCACCCCCGTCCTTGCAGTGCGCGCCGTGCACCGGCTCCTGGAGCAGCGCCACCACGGGGTCGCCTGGCCTGCCACCCAGCACCCCATCACGCAGCTGACCAGCTCCGTGCTCCGGCGCGTGAACGAGGCATCGGGGCTGTACCAGATGTTCGGGGTGCTGGCTGACGTCATCCTGGTGCAGGAGTGAGTAGCCCGCCCCGCCCTGCCCCGCCCTGCCCCGCCGCGTCTACTCCTGCTCCAGATGTGGAACAGCCCAGTTGTTCCTTCTGGGGGGGGGGGGGGGCCGGGGTGCAGTGCCACGCAGTCTGCAGACAGCGTCCTTACTGCTTTCTTGCTGTGTGACCCTGGACAGCTTAGTGAGCCTCTCTGAGCCATTCTCACTTGGTCTGCAAAATGGGAACAATAAGCCCGCCTTGCAGTGTTGAAGGAGAGGACGAGCGCTTGGCACCAGTAGCGGAGCAGTGAGGGAGGCCCTTAGGGAGCGCCCGGGGAGGGTTCGAGCCCCCTCGGGCCAGCACCAGCTCGGTCCTGATGCTTATCAACCCAGCGATAATGACAGCACGCAGGACAGACCATGCAGAGGGCACAGTGCCCAGCCCCAGGGCAGAAGGGCTGGAGGCAGAGACCCGCGAGGACCCCAGGCAGAGCAGGCTCCTTGGAGCGGAGGGAACAGCCTGACCCCAAGGCAGCGAGGGCCGCGGCTCGCGCAGTCCAGGGACCTGTGGGAAGCGCAGCGGGGCTCGGCATGCAGGCCGTGCCTCGTCACAAGGGCCTCCAGCCTGGGCGGGTCCGTGGCAGCCCACCCTCACCAGACGCCCCGCATCTGCCACCTGCTCTCATGCACCACCCTCGCCCCTGCGGCCGGGGGTCCTTCTCACCGTAGCAGCCAGAGAGGCGCTTTGAAATCCCGGGTCTCGCTGACGGCGCCCTGCTCAGCGCTGTGCAGGCGGAACCCTGAGTGTGATGGTGCGCACACAGCCCCTCTCCCCACGCCGGCCCCTGCGGTGCCTCCCGAGGGGCTTCCTGCGTCCCCAGCCTGCCCCCTCCTGGCCCAGACCCCCACTCAGGCTGCACAGCTTTCTGCTGCACGTGTCAGGGAGAGCCCAGGTGTCACAGAACAGGCGCACGCGTGGGGGACAGCCCAGGTGTCACAGAACAGGCGCACGCGTGGGGGACAGCCCAGGTGTCACAGAACAGGCGCACGCGTGGGGGACAGCCCAGGTGTCACAGAACAGGCGCACGCGTGGGGGACAGCCCAGGTGTCACAGAACAGGCGCATGCGCCGCCTGGAGCCCCTCTGAGGCTGCGCATCTGGGAGGGAGGGACGCTGTGTGCCCGCACCGCACGCACGCACGCACGGGCTCTGCACGGCCACGGCTGAGCCCCCTGGGCCGCTTCCCCCCCTAGGAACGCCACGGCGTTTGAGTACCTGGAGGAGTTCCCCACACAGATGCTGGCCCAGCTGGAGAGCCTGACGGGCAGGCGGGCGCGGCACGGGCTCTTCGTGGTCCACATGGAGTACGGCAGGAACTTCTCTGGCCCCGAGAAGGACGTGTTCTTCTACGACCGCTCCGTGGGGCACACGGAGGACGCCTGGCAGTCCAACTTCCTCCACCCCGTCATCTACTACTACCGGCACCTCCCCACTGGTGAGCGGGGGGCTCTGCCTGCTGGCGGGGGCTGCTGGGGGCTTCTGGGGACGAGGAGTGCCGGGAATCCCGGTGTCATGGCCTCCCGTGGTGGGGACGGTGGCCCGGGCCCCGATGCCAGACGGCAGAGAGCTGGGGAACACAGAACCGAGAAGCTGGGTGGGAGCCCCCGGGCTGTCCTGTCACTGTGTCTCTTGGGTCCATGACAGCCTCTCTGAGCCTCAGCTGTAACATGGGTAACTGTGGTGGCTGCTGAGAGACGAAGGCCGCGGACAGGACCGGACTTCAGAGCTGGCAGGGCTGCGGGGGAGGGGGTGGTCTCGGGGTGGGAGGGGCTCCCCTGGGAGGGAGGCACCAACAGATGCAGGTGCCCTGCCAGCGTCAGGTTGCCCGTGCAGAGGTCATCCCGGCTGGCTCAGAGGCCATCTGACTGGGACAAGAGGGTGCCCACACCAGGCAGGAAGCCGGGCGCGACCAGCTCTCAGACGCCTCGTGCTGGGCCCGAGCCTTCGGCCAGGGAGGCCGGCTGCACGCAGCCACGGTAGAGCCCGGTCACGTTGTTCGTGTTGGTAGTGACCTCAACCGCAAGGGACAAGTCCAGTTCCTCTTCCTCACGTCAGCCTCCCAACTAGCGGATGGTGTTGCTGCCCACAGCCCGGACGGGGCCAGGGGGCGTCAGGTGTGCAGGAGCCGCCCCGGTGGCCCCAGGACACGCTCCCTGTGCCCCCCACAGAGCAGGAGGTGAGGTTCCGCCCTGCGCAGTGGCCCCTGCCGCGGCCCACAGCCATCCACCACATCGTGGAGGACTTCCTGACCGACTGGACCGCCCCCGTCGGCCACGTGCTGCCTCTCAGGCGCTTCCTGGAGAACTGCTTGGGCACGGATCTGCGAAGCTTCTATGCAGGTAGTGAAGTCCCCAGAGGACATAGAGGCTGAGCCAGGGGCCGGAGGAAGGCCGCTGAGCCCAAGCCCCAAGCCCGAGCCCCATCGCAGTTCGGGGCCCGTTTCCAGACGTCCGAGCCCACCTGCTGTTCCCTGCGGGGTGGCGGGTGAGGTGTGCACACTCGGCCCCGGGGAGCCCGTGCCCTGACGCCCAACAGTGGTCTCTCTTGGAGAATGAAGGAAACCGAGACGCACAACCACTGCTGGGCCCCTCGGGAGCCGAGAGCCTGGCGGGGTGGTTTTTTTAAACATTTATTATTTCGTTACTTGAAATGCAGAGACAGGGAGATCCTCCATCCTCTGTTTTACCCCCAATTGGCTGCAACAGCCAGAGCTGGGCAAGGCCAAAGCCAGGAGCCAGCAACTCCACCCTGGTCTCCCATGTGGGCAGCCGGGACCCGGACACTTGGGCTATCTTGGCTGCTTTCCCAGCCCCATCAGCAGGAAGTTGAATCGGAAGCTGAGCAGGTGGGACTCGAACCGGTGCTCTGATAATGGATGCCTGCATGGCAAGCAGGGCCCCACACCGCCAGAACCCTGGGTGTTCACTGAGCAGCCCTCGGCCTGCTGCCACTGCCCCAGGCTGGGAGGTCGGACTGGAGGCAGATGAAGCTTGCCCGGCGGTGGGCCAACAAGCAGGCGCAGAGCAGCCACGGGAGGAGACAGGAAGGAGGCACCTGGGCCCTGGGAGGGTGCGGAGAAAGTGCCCTCTGCAGCTCCAGCTGCACCGCGTGGGGCCAGACTCCACGCTGGGATCTGAGGAAGTCCCAGAAGGCAACGCAAGTCTCGTCATGAGAACTAGCTGTAGAAGTAGGCCTTGGGATGGGTGCTGTGGCTCAGCGGGTGAAGCTGCCTCTTGGGACAGCCGCATCCCGTGTCAGAGCGCCCTCTGACCCGGCGCCCTGCGGATGCACCTGGGAAGGCAGCAGAGGATGGCCCGAGTGCTCAGGCCCCTGCCACCCCCAGGGGAGACCTGTGGCTTCCGCCTGGACAAGCCCCGGCTACTGCGGGCATCTGTGGGGGAGCCAGCGGATGCCACGGATGTGCGGGGGCCATCTGTTGGGAGGGCGGACTCTCCCAGGCCAGGGCGGCACCAGTGGCAGCGTCTAGCCGGCAGGTCAGGCAGACACAGGGCCCGTAACTCGGCGTGGGGCACGCTCCCTCGCACCGCTGGCATTTCCGGCCGTTCCTGGAGCCGTGACTGGCAGTCAGGCGTTTTGGAGCTGCGGACCCGAGACCTCTGGCGTCACTTCTGCCTAAGTGTGTGTCAAGGTGGATGGTTTGCAGGCTGCTTCTGCCTCGCAGCTGCTTAGCTCTGGTTCTGTAAATTAACTCTGAGCCTCACTTAGGGGAGGGGCAAAAAGCCCATGGAAACTATGCATAGATGTCCAAACTTTTTTACACCAGAATGAACTCATCTTTAAAAAAAAATTTTTTTTTTTTGAAAGACAGAGACTGAGAGGTAGACAGGGATCTTCCATCCACTGATGGACTCCCAAATGCCTACAACAGCAGGGGCTGGGCCAAGCCACAGTCAGGAGCCGGGAGCTCCATCCGGGTCTCCCCTGTGGGTTGCAGGTACGTGAGGACTTGAGCCATCACCTGCTGGTCCCTGGGGTGTAGATTCGCAGGCAGCTGGAGTGAGGAGCTGAGCTGGGACTGGAGCCCCAGTCACCCTGATGTGAGATGCGGGCGTCACAAACAGCATTGGAACCCCGCACCAAGGCCCGCCCCTGCGTCTTTTAAACAAAAGTCACGTGACTACGTGGCTAAAGTTGGTTTCCCAGCCCCGTGAGGAAGTGTGACCCACTCTGTGGTTCCTCGTATTGGTTTCTCTCTTCCGGTCGCTCCTTTCGGTTCTTTCTTTCTAAACAACAAGCGGCCACAGCCATTTGCGATGGACCAGCCCAGACGTGCGTGTGCACCTGCCTTCCGCTGTGCCGTGTGCATCGCCTCTGCCCCCACGGGTTCAGAATGAACTTGGCACCCGATGTTTGCAACTCAGATGCCGCAGACGGCAACAAGTCTGCCCGCGGCGCTGAGCTCGGAATGGGACTGACCAGAGTCCCCCCAACCCCCCGCGGGCCAGCTCCCAGCCCCCCCCCCCCCCGGCTCGGCCTACTCCCTGGGGATCATTTCTCGTGGTCTGCTCTCATTCTGGAGCCCTGTTTTTCCAAAATGTTGAGGCAGCTTCCTGTTTCTGGAGCCCTGTGGAGGTGCACGACCCGTGGCCTGAGGTCAGGCACGAGACACCTGGAGAGGAGAGGGCTGGAGGGGCCTGGCTGGGGGCCTGGGGGCCCTGCCCCGCAGCCCAGCCTCACGAAACCCTCTCTCTCTGCTTTTGCGTAGAGTCCTGTTTCCTGTTCGCCCTAACGCGCCAGAAGCTGCCCCCCTTCTGCCGGCAGGGGTACTTGAGAAAGCAGGGGCTCGCGAGCACCGAGAGCCTCCGGCGGCACGGAGTGGAGAGCGGGCTGATGCAGGACCACGCGGCCGCCGGCCAGCACCTGAGGGACCGCGGACAGCAGCCCGGCGACCGCGGGCCAGTAGGTCACCCCCCAGCTGCAGGGACGCTGGCCCAGTCCCTCAACAGCGACAAGGAGGAGCTCTGACTGTCCCCCCCTGGCCCTGGGCGCGGCGGCCACACCCACAGTCAACCCTCTCTCCCTGCAGCTTCCCGCGCCGCCCACCGAGGTGTGATTGCTGACGACCACGCCCACCTTGAAGACCACGCCCACCTCGCTGCACCTGCACCAAGCAGCCTGCAGGGCTGAGATGTGGCCGTGCACCTGGCTCCCCTCCTCAGAAGGGTTCCCGGCAGGCAATTGAACCAGGGCTCCACTCTCCAAGACGGCCATCACTGGCAGACGGCCTTGTTGCCCCCGACGCCTGCCGCAGACGCGGCTCTGAGGTGCCAGGAGTGCCTGCCGGGTCACCCGCTTTCCGCTCACTGCCTCGCCCTCCTGAAATCTGTGGTCTCAGCAGGGCCTGCCCTTAGCTACGGCACCCGGGGGCAGCGCAGCTGTCATGGGGTGGGCATGGGATAGCTCCCTGCAAGGCCACCTCCACCCAGCACCGTTCTCCCTGAGCTGCGAGCTCGGAGCTGCACCCCCGCCTCCCCCAGCCTCTGCGGCTCCTCCGGCATCCTGCTCCCCACCCTTTCCCCACACTCTGCCGTCCCAAGCCAGGCCTTGCCCCCAGCCCTCCCTGTCCAGCGCCGTGAGCGGCTCTCCTGCTGCCTTTCCCAGTGAGCGCCCTGTGTGCTGGCCGGGCGAGGAGTCACTGGCTGGTGTTTTTGTACCATTTCGATGGTGAACTTGGACCTGGTGCCCTTGGCTGCCCCGCCCCTACTTGTGCCGTCTTGCAGCAGGCGTCTCAGTCTCGTTTGTGCGTTTGCGCACTGAACGGTCGGGGTCACGGTGACCTCCCAGAGCCGCCTCTGGGTCTCCCTAGCGCTTCCTGTGTGCACTGGGAATTCCAGGGTCTCGGGCAGGCCCTCCAGCTCCCAAGATCCATCCTGGGGACATCCCCTCCACTTCCTCCTCACGCCCCAGGCCCCACACCCCGCCCTCAGCAGCCTCTCCCCGCAGCCGTTGTCTGCGGCACCTCCAGACCTGGGTAAGGTGCGCAGGGCTGCGGCTCCCTCCAGGATCCCCGCACCAGGTGCACCTTGTAGGGAAACAAATTGTATCCAAATTGTATCCTGTTATGCCCCACCGCACACACACACTTTTCCAAAGCATCTCCTAGTGAGGCCTCTGCCCACCACTTCAAGTCCTCCAACCTGGCGGCTGAAGGCTGGCCGAGCTGGCCGAGACCCCGTGGTTTACGATGCCTGCGCGGGTGGTCCTGCCGCCCTTGGCCTCCTCTGCCAAGCCCCGGTCCCATTGGGTCCCAGCCTGGTGTGGAGAAAAGACCTGACCCCGACCTTGATCCGTGAGTCGGACCCCGGCCCCGTTCCTCTGTGTGTAAACTAATAGGCGGTGTCTAAGAACTCCCTGTTCCCGTGAAGGTCACTGCCGCGTTAGCCAAGTTCCCACCAAGGCCGTCCCTCCGGGCAGCCTCCCTCCCTGTTTTTCTGCCCTGACCTCCAGTGCCTGGGGCTTTGAGCCGCCTCCTGCTGTGCTGATTCTGTTCCCTGGGCAGCGTTAGTGCCTCCCCTCCTCTGCCAAGCCTGGGCTGGCCCTGAGCATCGAGCACCGCTCATTCCCCGAGGCTGGACCTGACAGAGGCCCGACTTCAGTCATTCCTCCTCCCCTCAGCTTTGCGGAGTTTCTGGTGCAAGACAGACAGGCTGCACGCTGGAGGGATGGTGGTCCAGAAGTAGGGCCTCCCCTGGGCCTTTCCCAAGTGACCAACAGTGGGAAGGACTGGCAGGAAGGTGCTGTGAGATTGCACCGTGCGCAAAGAAGCTGGGAAAAGAGAAGCATCATTTTGGACACTGTTCCAGGCCACAGAATGAACTCTCGGAAGTCATTGGAAGCCACATGGACGCCGAGGCTGAGGAGGGGCCCCGGAGCCCAAGGGAGGACTTGGCAAGCTTCCACACACCTACTGTGTGCCTACTGTACTGGGTGCAGGCTTAGCCTTTACGGGTGTGCCCACCTGCCCCGACGTAATTAGCGTGACTGATGGGATGATTTCAGTGAAGATGATGGCTTCAAACCCGCGCGGATGAAAGAACTGATCACGCAGAGTGGCTGAGCTGGCTAAGCTGCCCCTGGGGTGTCTCGTCTGGTGTCGGAGGGCCTGGGAGGCAGCCCCGCCTCTGCTTCTGCTCCGGCTTCCTGCTGTGCTCACCCTGGGGGGCGGCATGTGATGGCTCAAGGCCTCGGGCCCCTCCACTCAAGAGGAGACCCGGATGGAGTTCCTGGCTCCCGGCTTCAGCATTTGAGGAGCGAGCCAGCGGATGGAAGACTCTCTCTCTCACTTCGCCTTTCAGATACGTGTAAATAAATAAATGGAACTTATGACGTGCAGGTGCTTTTTTAAGAACTGCAGATGGTAAGTGAAGAACAGCTGTCCCTGATGGACTGGGGCTGCATGTGGGGGAAACTTACCTGAAAGCAGGATACGAAATCGTTCTCACCACTACTTGGACTAACTGCAGCTGTGTGAAAACAGGAACCCGGGACCGGCACTGTGGCGTGGCGGGTAAAGCCGCTGCCTGCAGTGCCCGCATCCCATATGGTCCCAGCTGCTCCACTTCCCATCCAGCTCTCTGCTATGGCCTGGGAAAGCAGTAGAGGATGCCCCAAGTCCTTGGGCCCCTGCACCCACGTGGGAGACCCGGAAGAAGCTCCTGGCTTCGGATCGGCACAGCTCCAGCTGTTGCAGCAAATTGGGGAGTGAACCAGCAGATGGAAGACCTTTCTCTCTGCCTCTGCCTCTCTGTAACTCTTTCAAATAAATAAATAAATCTTTAAAGGAAAAAAAATAGGAAACAAACCATATTCAGGGAAAACTGGAAATGTCACAAAATATCCACAGTGGTTATGTTTGTTTCATTTGAATCATCTTGTTGAAATCTGGTTATTCTGTATGGTACAATAAATACATTTACTTTTTAAACATAATCTCTGTCAAAGGCAACGTCTCTGGAGGCGCGTGGACCAGAGAGCCCTGCGCAGAAGCTGCGCTCTGATTCCTTGGTGCCCAGCCATTGTCCCCACCCAGGTCACCATGCCCTCCCCGCACCAGGCAGCCACAGACACTGGCTGAAGGAGGGGAACTTAAGCCGCATGTGTGCTTCTCATAGTCGCACTGATAGGCTCAGCACAACCGAGGTTTCTGGAAGAGTCCTCCCTCTCAAGTGATAGAAAGCAGAAGGTGAAAATCCTCATTTTTGTGTAAACCTCCTGGGTGCGCTCTCCAATGCGTCACAGAGTCCAAACTTCCCTTCACCTGATAAGAGTCGGAGTGTCCCGGGGCTGGTGTCGTGGCACAGTAGGTTAATCCTCCACCTGTGGTGCCGGCATCCCATATGGGCGCCGGTTCATGTCCCAGCTGCTCCTCTTCCAATCCAGCTCTCTGCTATGCCCTGGGAAAGCAGTGGAAGACGGCCCAAGTCCTTGGGCCCCTGCACCCATGTGGGAGACCCGGAAGAAACTCCTGGCTCCTGGCTTTGGATGGGCACAGCTCCTGCTGTTGCAGCCATCTGGGGAGTGAACCAGCAGACGGAAGACCTTTCTCTCTGTCTGTCCCTCTCACTGCGTGTAACTCTACCTCTCAAATAAATAAATAAAATATTAAAAAAAAAAAAAAGAGAGTCGGAGTCGGAGTGTCCCTAACGCCTCCCTGGAGATCAGCTCACCAGGAAGCAAACCTACTGTGTGCCTAGAACGAGATTCTGCGGGTGTTTGAAAGAGGCGTGCACAACGCTCTGACACCGTCCCCACAGGGGAGGAGCCTGGTGCTCCTCCTCCTGAGTGGGCTGGACAGGGGCTCACTTCTGAGCAACCAAGGCACAGGAAGGGATGGACTGTCAACCTGAAGGTGAGGTTATGGAAACACGGCGGGTCACCTGGGGAGACTGCTCTCTCTCCCCGGAGCCACACACCTGGGGGCCGCCCAGCCTTGCCCTCAAGGACTCCCAGGCAGCCTCTGGAAGGGCCCCTGTGGCAGGGACAGACCCGCCCAGCAGCCTTGAGGGGAACCCTGAGCCAGACCCTCCCAGCTAAGCTTTGAGATGAGGTTTGCTGGGCGACAGGGGAGCTTGTTACACAGCGATAGGTAGTAATGCAGGCGCTGCATAATCTACCTACGCTCACCCTCACTACAGGCACAGGAGGTGGATGTTCTACTCCCACTTTGCAGGTAAGAAGCCTGAGAGCCGGTGCCCAGGAAGACGGGTGTGGTCCTTAGGAAATGCAGTCATCCCAGCCATCCTCTAGGTGGCAGTCATGAGCACCAGCATCTTATCCATCCCACCCACCCCAGGTGACAAGACATTCAGAGGCCAGGGGCCAATGTTGTGGCGTAGCCGGTTAAGCTGCCGCCTGCCATGCTGGCATCTCATATGAGCTTCCTGTTGGAGTCCCAGCTGCTCCACTTCCGATCCAGCTCCCTCCTTATGCACCTGGAAAGGCGACCGAGGGTGACCCAAGTGCTTGGTTTCCTGCCACCCGCATTTGGGGAGTGAACCAGCAGATGGAAGATCCCTCTCGCTCTGTCTCCCCTCCTCTCTAACTCTGCCTTTCAAATAAATGAATACATCTTTATAAAAAAAATTTAAGAGTCCAGGCAATTGCCAGATTTAGGAGTGTGTGGCTGCCACGAAAGTTATTGAAATGAATGCTGATTATGCAAAAGCCCCCCCCCCCCCCCGCCAAGTTGAATCCAGCGCATCGGTGCAGGCATCCTGACACAGGCGGGGGCGGGGCTGGCCGAAGGTGGGACGAGGACAGCCCCGGAGCCTGGGTTACAGCCCTCCGCCAGCTTCGGCCACTGTCAGACGAGCCCTGAGAGCCACATTGGAAGTTTCCCTCAGAAGCGAGCCCCGGGCTGCGCCACCGCACTGCAGATGCTTCCTTAAAACTACGGTGAAAATGCTGACGCCATGGAGATTCTGTTCAGACTGCGGGCTTTAAAAAAGCATTTAATTCCATCTGGCAGCCCAGACAGAATGGAAATCTGCTACAAAGTGAAGTGCATGGGCAAATACAGGAGCTGTTTCAGCCCAAGTATTTAATGCAAGTGCATCACACAAGCAATCCATCAACCCCAAAATAAAAACAGAAGGCGGCAGACGCGTTGCAGCAGGAGAGGAGGGAGCGGCCGGCGACCCTGTCGCACGGCTTCCTCCACTCTGCAGGAGAAGGACCGGTTTGCTGGATTTCTGGAGAAAGCACAGCCTAGCTGTCACTGCCTTCTCATCCCCTCTGAGAACCAGGGTCCCTGTTGTCCCAAAGCATCAGAAGGCAATTAGACGCCAGCGCCGCGGCTCACTAGGCTAATCCTCCATCTAGCGGCGCCGGCACACCGGGTTCTAGTCCTGGTCGGGGCGCCGGATTCTGTCTCAATTGCCCCTCTTCCAGGCCAGCTCTCTGCTGTGGCCCGAGAGTGCAGTGGAGGATGGCCCAGGTGCTTGGGCCCTGCACCCCATGGGAGACCAGGAGAAGCATCTGGCTCCTGCCATCGGATCAGCTCAGTGCGCCGGCCGCAGCGCGCCGGCTGCGGCGGCCATTGAAGGGTGAACCAACAGCAAAGGAAGACCTTTCTCTCTGTCTCTCTCTCACTGTCCACTCTGCCTGTCAAAAAAAATAAATAAAAATTAAAAAAAAGAAGGCAATTAGACGCCGACCAGGCCTCGCCATCAGGGGCTTCAATGGGAAATGTCTCAGACTGTTCGGGCGTAGCTTAGACAACGCAGCTGTAACAGTGAGAGGGGTGGACAGTTAAGATGCCTGAATCCCGTACCAGAACACCTGGACTCAGTGCCTACCTCCGGCTCCCGACTGCAGTTTCCTGGTATTTGAAAAGCAGAACGACAGAGAGAGACACCGTCCATCCGCTGGATCACTCCCCCAGAGGCCTGCAACAGCTGGGCCTGGGCCATGGCAAACCAGGAGCCTGGAACCCACCCGGCCTCCCACAGGAGTGACGGACCCAAGAGCCTGAACCATCATCCGCTGCCTCCAGGGTGCGCATCAGCAGGAGGCTGGATCAGGAGTGCGGCTGGAACTTGAACCCAAGGCCCCAATATAGGGTGTGGAGGTCCCAAGTGGCATCCTAACCGCTGAGCCAAACATGTTGGCATCGCATATCCGAGTGCAGGCTCTCGTCCCAGCTACTCCACTTCCTATCCAGCTTCCTGCTGACGTAACTGGAAAGGCAACAGTTGGTGATCCAAGTTCTTAGGTTCCTGCCACCTGTGTGGGAGACCTAGATGGAGTTCCTGACTCGGTTTCATGGCCTACCGCTGCCTATTGCAGCCATTTAGGGAGTGAACTAGCAAACTGAAGCTTTCTCTCTCTACCTCCCCCTCTTTCTCTGTCACTCTGCCTTTCAAATAAATAGACAAGTCTTTGAAAATAAAAAAGGGAAGTGTTGATCCAGCTCCCTGCTAATGGTCTGGAAAAAGCAGTGGAAGATGGCCCCAGTGTTTGGGCCCTGCCACCCACATGGGAGACCTGGATGAAGCTCCCGGTTCCTGCCTTTGGCCTGGCCCAACCCTGGCCATTGCAGCCATGTAAGGAGTGAACCAGCTGATGCAAGCGCTCACTCGCTCGCTCTCTCTCTCTCTCTCTCCCTTTCTCTCTGTCACTCTTTCACATAAATAAATCTTGAAAGAAAGAAAGAGGGTGGTGGTCAGGGAAACACTGCTATTGGTTGTCCTGCCCAACGAGGGAGGGCAGGGAGCCACCGTGCCTCCGAGGGAGCTGACAACGCTGCGGCCAGGAAGCGTCTTTGCGACTCTAGCGATGAGAGAGCTAAGGAAGTTGTAGAGAAGCTGCTGGCATCACTAAACCCTGCGTGAGCGTCCCGCGTCACACTTCCGGATCTGTGCGGTAGCAAAGCCCGAACGCTCCGCCCCTTTCAGCCCGGGGCTCTGCTCCCGACAGCCAGAAGCTCCTTTAGTGAGCGCGCGCAACGGCCAAGAATTTTTGCATACTTAATGCTCGCAAATTACCGCGTAAGATTTAAATTTTGAACTCACTCAACACATTTAAAGGAAACAGGATTAGAAAGACTAACCGACTCAACGATCTTCCAGTCAAAAATATGGTAACGATTTTTACCAACTACAATAGCTAGATGTTGTGTAGCCCAGCACCTACCTTTTTAATAAAATAACAGTCAGCACTGTGGCCCAGCAGGTTAAGCTGCCATCTGCAGGGCCGGCATCCCACATGGGCTCTGGTTGGAGTCCCAGCTGCTCCACTTCCAATCCAGCTCCCTGCTGATGCACCTGGGAAAGCAGCAGAGCGTGGCCAAGTGCTTGGCCCCCACACCCACAAGGGAGACCAGAGGAAGATCCTGGCTTCTGGCTTCAGACCTGCTTAGCCCTGACTGTGTGGCCATTTGGGGAGTGAACCAGAGGATGAAAGATCTCTCTCTCTCTCTCTCTCTCTCTCTCTCTTACTCTCTCCATAACTCTGACTTTAAATAAATAAATCATTTTTTAAAAGTCCCTCTTTGCTCTGAGCAGGCTCTCTGCATTGGATATAGTGGGCCACCAATAAAATCCTCATGGAAATGCGAACTGGACCAGTGTTGGATTCTAGAATAGAAGCCAAAAGAGTTCCTTGCAAGGAACTGACCACCCTGGCTGTCTGTACAAACAGAAGCTGTCTGCCCCCGCTCCCCCGCTGAGCCGCCTCCATCCCATCTCTCCACTGTGCAGGCCTGGGCGCAGCCTGCCACGGGCTCACAGAGGGGCTGGCTGCACCTGGGTCCAGCCGAGAGGCCTGAGAACAATCCTAAACAAAGGAAAATCACTGTCCCAGACACACAAAGAGCTCACCAACTTCCGAGAAAGAAGCAACTTCGTGCCTTTAAAATCTGCGAGTTTCAGGAAACGTGGAGCAGAGGTAACAGATCCCGCACGTGCGAGGGAACAGAGAGCATTCAGGAC